TCTAATCCGCTATCCTACTTCTATTGTCGCAAATCGAGAACAAAGCCGTTTATTATTTTATTTTTGTAGTAGTAACGAGAATACAAGTAATTATTTAGGTTAATCTGAATTCTTGTTATATTAACTAGATGATAGAGTTTTTTGCCTAAGCGTCCATCTAGGCAGGTTAGATATGACTGGAGCAATGCACCCAATGTTGTGTTTCGATTGAGGGCTAAGACTGGTTCTCTTAACCCTCAACCAAAACATTAATCATGAAATGATTTGCAACACGATTAAACCACTTAAAAATGGTGTTTTGTGTTCATTATTTTTTAAATGAACTTGTTTTGCTATTGAGCAGATACTATTGCGTAGATCTAGCACAATTAAACTATTTATTTACTGAAAAATCTAATTAAATAATGATACAATAACTTACTATAAGTACACGTTACGCAAATGTTGCTTAAATAAGTTAAGTAAAGATTATAATGCTGGCCGATTCGATCGCTAATAATAAAGAACGCTGGCCGTGTAAAACCTACTCTTAACCCCTTACCACATGAATTATTAGAGATAGAATAAATATTTTATTTTTGCGAAAAGTTGTTTATTTGAGCTTTCATAATGAGATCAAATTGTAAAAAAAATTAACTTATAGAAATTATTACACGACGCCATATATGGCTTCGTATGCATTCTAGCACACTAATTTTCAGCCAGATATGGCTTCGTATGCATTTAGGGAAAAACTAGTTTAAAGTACACGTTACACGAGTGTTGCTTAAAGGAGTTAAGTACAGAATACAGACAATTATGATGGCCGATTCGATCGTTAATAATAAAGAACGCTGGCTGTGTAACCTACTCTTAAAGATTTACGCATCAAACACTGACCGCCCATTTCGATACTATTTATAATTGCTTTCAAGAATAATATAAATTAAGATATAATTAGGAGGAATTGTTAAAACGATTAACAATTCCTCCTAACTCCTAACGACTTATTTAAGAGGAACATATTATAGTAAGCTACTTCTTATAACATTGGCTATCTGTCAGTAAAAGTCTTGTTAAAATTGGTATAGAAATTTCTGAAATTAATCGGAACAAACAGATAGACAGACAGGCAGATGGACAGGCCGACAGACAGACAAAAATAAAATATAGTAATAAGTTATAAGTACCTACCGTATATACTTTTATGCCCATTGAGTAAAAATCTGTTATTCTGACAGACACTTTAATAAGATAATTAATACAATTAAATCCCAACCCAAGCATACAACAGCAAGAGTTCAAGATACTATATGTTCATGCCAGCCGTAGTTAACTATGACATTGGAACATCGAACACCTCAGTTATAATCCCATGTGTGCCAACTATGAGTGCTGTAAATTGCTCGAAATATCGGGAATATAAAATAGGTCATAATGTGATAAAATCCGTAAAAACTAGATTATTTAAATGTGTAGTGTTCGCGTAAATGTAAGAAATCATTTTATTTGTTTTATTTACTAAAATTGAATAAAAGATATTCCATTTTATCTATTTCTCACCTAACAGTAATATTATACGACCTTAAAATTAGATTGTACCCAAAGAGATTTATATATATATATATATACTCTAATGTCTTTGATTGTACCGTACTTTTACACCATTTTCAACCGTCGGATTGTTCTTAATCTATAATAGTACAATACTTTCGCGCCGTTAATGCTGTCAGGTAATATCCGATAATTCATCAATTTATTACACGTGCACTAAACGTAATCGTCCAAGCTTACTTTCTCTCGATAATTACATTACGATTGGAAGCAAATTACCGTTGTTCCTGAAATAGAGTATTCTTATGGCACGAGACGAAACTCCGACCGATAAACTAGTCACGAATCCCTCTCTAAAAAACTCGTCACGACATTTTCTGGGATACAATGGTAGCGTTGTTATTCCATTTAGGTTTATGTAAGGGTGAAAGAACATCGCATGATTGGCCATTGTAAACGCAACGCAGGATGTAACAAAGAAGACTGTTCTATAGTGATAATTCTTCAAGGTCCATATATTCGTCTTGACATGTTGATTGCCGTGTGAACCCGTTCTAAACAAACCGCTTGTTAATTATTAAATTCGTCGCAGTTCGCAAAGAGGATCGTCGGAGAGAGAAATCCAACAGGGTCTTATCAGATTAGATATCGCGCGCCATTTGCGTGTCGTTAACTTGTTTTATGTACCAGACCTTTAACAATGACACGAACTATTTCCGATTTATAGAAAACCGTTTAAAGTACTTTCACAAAAGCTCTTACGATCGCTGAGTTTCTTGAAACGCCATTATTTCTACATTTGATATTCAAAGAACATTATGCCGTTCTTGAGTGTTTGCTGTTATTAAAATCAAGTTAAGATATATCTTAAACTTTAATTAAACGTTTAGGGCCATTGAAAGGCAATAATTTAACGAGCCACTTAATGAAACCCAACTTTACAAGCTGCGGATGTGGCCAGTTTGTTCACAATTCCCTTGATGTCGTAAAAGTTGATTTAAAATTTATATAGGAATTATCAAATTAATTCCACTTATCCATATATTAATGCGTGGAGAAAATAAGCTTTATACCCCTTATTAAGTAAATTTCGTGCACGAAGCTTTGGCATAGTTAAAGCTTTTATGGAGAAAGTGGGCAAGCTAATTGAAATAATACTAGTTTTTCTTCGCGTATATAACGAAATAAACTGTTTACGGCTTTATTTGGTAATTTATATACTCGTACGATATTATATATTACAAATTCATTAAATTAAATTAATTCGTTCAGACATTCTTTGTTTACTGCCAATGTCTAAAATAGTCTACGGACATACGGTTGCACAAAGAAGAGATTGTCGCCGAAAACTTAAAATGTTGCCTGCAAATAATTACTAGTTATTTAATTTTTTATGATTTGTTATATGATTGATATTTCCTTTTCAATAGTCAAGGCGTGTATGTCAAGCCAAAAAGCGTTTATTTCATTTAAGATATTAACAATCATTTAGCTGGGATCCGCGTAATAAAATAAAATGATGTGTCTTACCTAGTTTGAATGAGAACCTCCCACCCTCCCTAAATTCCGTGCACCCCCTTTTCCATCACCCCCTATCACTACTAAATCCAGCCCCACTACACGAGGAAAGACACACCACCGTCGATATATAATACGACCTGACGTACGCAGCTATTTGCTGTAAAATTAACAATAAACCGCTGCGAAACGAATCATAGTGCTCAACCAACGCAATGTCTACTTCACATGAGGATGCCTCGTATCCAGGCGAAACTCGTGTCGTATAATCGACGGTGGTGTGTCTTTACTAATGTAGTATTGCTGGGATTCGTGGTGACGGGATTAGTGTACGCAATTGAGAGTGGACGGGAGGTGCTCTTCAAACTAGGTAAGACACATCATTTTATTTTATTACGCGGATATAAGCCAATTTATCTCTCATCATCTACAATACAATGGATTTACGTTTATTTTATGTTATATACATTAGATGTCTGTGTTTTAATGAGCAGTTGAAAGTGGTACAGATATAAATAATAAAAATAAAAGGATATAGGCAATATTGAAAGTTAATAATTGGAGGTACTTGTGTCGACAAAACAACCAAAGAAAAAATTCGTATAAAAGTAATTCGCGATACTGATAACAACGAAACAAAGTTGATATAATACTAGTCTAGTACTAGTATAGTTTATAGGGGCATAATAGTATATATATATATATATATATATATATATATATATATATATATATATATATATATATATACACATCGACACATCTTCTCGTCAGGTATACCTCAATCTCATTTGAAAACTAAAGTGTACAACCAGTGCGTGTTGCCAGTGATGACTTACGGATCAGAGACGTGGTCGTTCGACTGCTGGCCGTATGAGGACGCTCAAGGTCGCTCAGCGAGCTATGGAGTAGGGCTATGCTCGGAGTTTCTCTGCGTGATAGATTCAGAAATGAGGATAGATGCTTTCCGTCATCGTACGCATCCGCACGACACCCTCAGAACGATAAGGGGTAGTGGATATTCTTACGCCGCCACTACACATTAAAGAGACATCCAATCGTCCCTACGTTTAGGTATTTGAGTCTCGACACTGACGCCGAGTCTACAATACTAGTCAATTCTTTGACTGCCTGGTTGGTCTAGTGGTTGTAGTAGTGCGACTGCTGATCATGAGGTTCTGGGTTCGAATCCCGGGTCGGGCCAAAAAATCAATTATTGAGTTTTTCTGTCAAGAAATTCTCTGTAGCTGCCCGGAGTCAGGAAGTTGGCGGTGTCACACCGCCGTGCCTCGGAAAGCACCTAAAGCGGTTGGTCCTGCGCCTGATCTCTCTCCCGGTCGTGTCGGTTTACCGTCCCATGGGATTATGAGAGTGAGGGAATAGAGAGTGCACCTGTGCTTGCGCATACACTTGGGCACTATAATCCTGTGCTGCGCCGATGGCCAGCCCCCGTTGAGGCAGGCCACCTTGACCGAAATTCGGTCTGGAGGACATTATTATTATTACTAGTCAACTCCTTGACAGAAATATCCAATAACCAATTTTAGACCAACCCGGGATTCCAAATCTGGATCTCATGATCGGCAACCGCGTTTACGACCACTAAACCAACGAGGCCAATCAATATGTGGTGGCGCTGTAGTCGCGCCGCAAGCGAAACACACCGAAGCCTAAATCACGCTATCAAAATTCCGAATCAAATTAAACAGTATATATAGAACATCTCGAAATATCACACGGAGTGTTGGCCGCTCCTCGGGCAGAACACCTTGCCCGGCGGGAGATCTCCCCTTTACCTTCCTCGGTCACAAATATTTTTGTTTGTTTAGTGTATCCACATATGTAGGCACAGTCGAAACTTATATTTTTGATTAAAGATAAAAATCTTATTAGATAAAATTTCATTTTGATTTAAAGAGGAATTTGTTAATTTGTCTTTTAAATTTTAGGTGAATCAGTGTCTGAACGCGCTGACAGCGAAGCTCGAGTAGTGAGCGAGCATCGCTGCATAGAAGTGCGCATAGCGCGCGCCGCTGGCGGCCTCGGCCTCAGCATCGCGGGCGGCCGCGGCTCTACGCCGTATGTTGGCGATGACGACGGCATCTTCATATCACGCGTCACCCCCAACGGGCCTGCATACATGGCCGGACTAAGGGTAAGTTGACTTTTATTCATAACATTAGACCTGAATGAAAATGAACTTGAAAGATATGTAGTTGCAAGCATCGAGAAAAGTATATTGAGATGGTTTAGGCGTTTGGAAAGGTGGATGAAAGAAACACATGATAAGTTCTGCTTATGCCTGATATCTAATGGTATGCAGATGACAACTCAGTTGTGAAGAAATATCAGTTGAGTCGGGCTTTCACTCGGCTTCACAAGAATTGTGTGACTAAATTACTACTTCTGCCTGCCACTCTCGGACAATCAGATGCCCGGCCAGTCCAGGCCAGGCCACATCTTTGTCATCGAAATTTCACGCCTTCGACCTAACGGTTTGCATAGTACAGCAATTTTGTTAGGATCTGTCTTTCTATCCTTATTAAATGTCTTATAGTCATCAAATGTATGTTAGGTTAAGTCAGTGCGGTATATCAGCTACGGTTGTTTTACCAGTTACTATCCGGTGTGATTAACACTGGCTTAAAATAGTTAGAAAAAACATTGATGAGATATTATATCTTCTCTATGTTTCGATATATAATAGCTATCATATATCCAAACTCGAAAAAGTTGAGGTTAGGAAGTCTTGAAAATATATATTTTTATGCTTATATATATTTATATTATAATTGAACAAACAAATTTTGTTACTGCGGTTATTTACATAACAATAGTAAGAAGTTAATTTTGTCTGTGAAGATTTTTTTTACAAATAAACCAGATTAATAAATCATTGATATTTCAAATTACATATTTTATTTGTCTGTTGATGATTTAACAAATCCCTAGGAATGAAATTGTATACCTATAAAATATCTTACAAACATATCTTTTATTGTAGGTGGGCGACAAAGTGCTATCAGTGAATGGTACTTCCGTGGTAGACGTCGACCATTACTACGCTGTGGAAGTACTAAAAGCGAGCGGACCTGTTCTTACACTAGTCGTAACTAGAGACTCGCCTAATTCGACCAGGTGAGTTTATTGTTTTAGTGCTTTTGTGTATAAAGTAGTCCGTTAGTCGTCCGTAAGTACCATTCTATTGCCTAATTATTTCTACCGCTATACAGCAGTACAATCACTCTTATGTCCCGGGCTATTTCATTTTAGTACTCGGGACATACCGTAAAATATGATATATACATACATAAAACGTTTAGTGGCGTTTTAAGAATTTCCAGTATCCAATACCCCATATCGTACCCGTGGATGTCATAAGAGGCGACAGAGGGAAATTGAAACAGGATATGGGCAGCAGCAACTTCCTGATAACAAATAATAACTTAAAATAATCAAACGACTGTGGTTGACAACCCGCTCGCCAAGCGTGTCAACTGTGGCAAATAATCAACTATAAAAAGAAAAAAAGTAAAGTTACAGCCTATATACGTCCTACTGCCGGGCACAGGCCTCCCCTCATTTCTGAGAGGGTTTTAGGGCAAGGAAGTGTCCGCCGCGCTGCCCCAATGCGTGTTGGCGAACTTCACGTGTCTTCGAAATAATTTTTTTCTTATTCCTCAGACATGCAGGTTTCCTCACGATGTTTTCCTTCACCGCCGAGCACGTGGTAAATCAGCACTTAAAATTGCAATTAACAATTTCATTGGTGCCGGCGTGGATCGAACTCGGGTTACTCGCGTTCTGTTATATTTACAGCGAGCGTTAACCATCTGAGCTACCACGGCTCAACTATGAAAAAATCTATGGGGGTCTATGTTAAGTTGGGCAGTGGTCTTTTGTAGGCTGTAATGTATAATGAACTTGGGGCATAATATGTAAACCGCATCTCATCATTCTTCTTTCTTTTGAGTGCTCCCGGACATGTTAAAAAAAGGGAATTTAAAAAAATCGCATCTTACATGACTTATTTTGGTCTACATGTAACTACATAACATATTATCACATTTTTTTTATAATATGTATTATTACTCAATTGGGTAGTTGATATCATAATTATTAAAATACTACGTCATTCACTTTTCATTAATTAGGTACAGCCTATCAAATGTCTATTGCTAAACATAGGCATAGATTGCCTCATCTTTGCTTATTAGATTCTTAAATGCCACCACTACACGTTTCAATAATTATACAACATCATATAATTTGCATTTAATTAGTATAAAACATAATGGTTTCTTATATATACGCGAACACAGTGATTAAAACTAATTTTACGGGCTTTATCGCGTTTAAATTATTGTATTTTTAATTAAATACGACGTTTGTGATCACATCCTAGACTGCCCCAACCATTTCATCAGATTTAATAGACCACAAATCCTCGTAAAAGAACATCGATTCCTACCAAGGATGATACGTGAGGCTATTGAAATTAAAAAAAAAACACCCTAAGTTCAATAGAGAAGGAGGCTGGGTACTACCACCTGCTTGGGACCCTATAAAAAACTAAATCCAAGCATACCACTGCAAGACTTGAAAACACAGTAAGTTCATTCTGTGGAGATCTGACCAAAAACAATAATTAAAAAGCTGAAGGTATTCCGGGTTAACGCTGACATCAGGGTGTCAGTCACCTCAGTCCCCCGCGACCATGTGTGCTGGACGGTACCTGAAACGTAAAGTATTAAAAATAAAATAAATTAAACGCGATAAAGTCCATAAAAGTAGTTTTAAGCAATATTATAAAACGTGATCGATTTTTTTCTATAGTCAGTTAAATTATAAAGCTTTGTTAATTAAAATATACAATAAAGATATTGATTAATTTGCAGCCTATCGATAACTAATAACTAAGTTACTAACTTAGCGGAAGGTTGCAAATTAATCAATATCTTTATTATAATGGATTTCCGAAAAGTAACGCCTGATTCTATCAATTATCTAAAAACGTTTATTTCACCACATTTTTTGAAAAGGTTTTGATTTGACAGCTCATTAAAAGTATTTCATCATCATGGGGGTCAACTACTCTATTTTAAATATCATAGATCTACATTTTGCATTTTACCAGAACGCACAGTCGGGCGCCGAGTGGAGCGAGCCATCATTCTGTGTCCAGTACGACCGACACCGTATCCACATTAGAAAATGGACAGGTGATTTATTGTTCATATTAATCTACACTTTCTATCTTCTATGCTTCAGTTCCACAAATTTTACATCAGTTCGATTTACACTACGATATGTTTGCTTTTTGAATTGATGTTATGTGATTAAGTTCTTTACGGCCCTACTTATTTCTTTGCGACAAATATGTACTGGTTCCTTATTATAAAATCTAGTAATACACATCTACATCTGATCTACATCTGATTTGAAATCATTGCATATTACACTGCACAGGACAGTGAGTCCGCATGATTTTTTTTAAGACGAAATTGGTTAAATACTTATTTATCAGGTACCCACTGGTCGAGGAATCATGGCGAAGCCTCTCATCATCAGCAACCAATACGCGCAAGAGTTCGAGCCCGATCAAAAAGATCTCGCGCCTAACCACCAAAAGACTGTGGTATCTCCAACTTCAAACTTCAGCCCCTCGCCAACCGGGCAGGTGACTACGAATACGTACCAACGGTTACAGGTGTCACCGCCGCCACCGCAAACTCAACCTTATGTTCCACCAGGTAGGCGCAAATTTCTAACTCACGATTTATTTTTGTCAAAGTCTGCCTTTCACACGTTATAACCGATTAGAAAGGGACAGGTGATCGCCATCAAGCCTTTTATAGACACTAAACCTAATACAATTCAACTGACTGCACTGACATTGATGATACAGATAAAGATTTAAAAAAATGTATGTGTCTATGCTCGCACTGTTCGCGATTTGTATTCAATTGATTTGAATAGTTTTTGACCTGCAATCGGATTCCTTTGAGAACGATGAACTCAATTTGTTGAATTCATAGAGGATAGATTTCTTATAAGCGGAATAATAGTAATGCTTATGCATTATTCATTTCCAACATTTTGTGTTTGTGTGTTAGATATTTATATACTTATTGCAATACGAACAAAAGTACGTAGGATTTACAAACTTAAAATAATGTGTCTTAATTTTAAGTAAAAGTTATTAAAATAAAACAATTTTTTTTTAAATCTAGTCACCTTTAAAGTTACAGGGATAACAAAGTGCTTATTACAAACTCAGTCATTCCGTAACTTTTTTCATATCATAAACGCGTTTATGTTTAGTAAGATTATCAAGCAATATTGTAAGAGATAGCTGAAGTTGAAGCTGTAGCTGAAGTTATCCTTGGGCTGAAATAGCCACCTAAATTCAGGTGAGGCTGCAAGCTCGTTTGTCATAGATATTGCTTGCTGTTATCGTCGCGTTGAAAGCTTATTATTAACATTCCAAACAAACTTAATCATAGTTTTAATTTGCTATTTTCGTCAAATTATCAATACGTTTTCCAGTGTACCAACAAAAGGTACTTGTCCACACGACGCTGATCCGCGACGGAGCGGGCCTCGGCTTCAGCATAGCGGGCGGGAAGGGCTCCCCGCCGTACAGGGAGGACAGCGACGCCATCTATATCTCGCGCATATCGCCACAAGGTGCCGCCGCGAAAGATGGCAAGATGCAAGTCGGGGATAAAGTCGTGTCCGTGAGTGTTGCCATTTCTTTTTATATTATACTTAATTTAAAGATTAATAAGAAAGAACATAATATGTACTCACGAATTTGTATATGAATTGTGGAAAAAAATATTCAGTGCTATATCTAAACCTTGTGTTTTCGCACAATAACTGAATTTCTTAGTAGTCCATCACTCTTGCTGTATTATGGCTGCATCAGCAACTGGTCAGCTGGTTTTTAGAAGATTTAACGGTACTGTGAGTCATGAGAACAGGGGAACATCTCATTTGATCTAAGTTCTCGACAGTGAGAGGTGGCAACCCATTTTCGTTTATATTCTTTCTTAGGTATAATAGTTTGGGTAAATTTATTTAATAATAAGTATATTAAATTAGAATCCCGATTTGAGAGGGGCTGTAATGATGATGAAATATATTATATTCAAATAATGTCTTCATCGTTAAAAATTTAACTAACAATATTCTAGGACATGTTAACAGAGTAGTAAGTAACCAAATTTATGTACGACTAGCTGTGCCTCGCGGTTTTACCCACGTATATCACGTTTCTGAGCTACGAGAGTGACACCTCTAGGCGTTCACTGCTGGTTTCATTGGCGCCAAGCCAAGTGTTGAATTTAAACTTAACGTCCAAATAACATGCTATAAAGAACAAAGTTTATCTTTATAAAATTTTCTTGATGATGAAGTAAGTAACTTTCGTTCATAAGAATTAATATGCCATGCCTAATAATAACGCTCGTAAATCACTATAATTATCTTTTATTTTGTCACGAAACACCTTAATATGGCTTATGTATAAGAAACAGATATGGTTTCGTGAACTTTTTTTTTGTATTTACGTATCACTAGCCATTAAATCACGCGGATAAAGCAGTTCGGATGCGCTATTTCTTCCGACTTAACAAAAGTCAATATTATATATAGTCTTAAGACTAGCTGAAAAGTGTAGCCTAATATAGTCTACAGTATTCCTAATGAATCTGGCTATTATATTAAAAAAAGAATTTTTCAAATCCGTGGTAGTTACAAAGATTAGCGTGCTTAAACAAACAAAAAAATCCCTTCCGCTTTATTATATTTAATATACTAGCTGATACCTGCTCGTTTCGCTGGGCACACGATAATATACGATAATAGATCGATAGATAGATAGTATAGTATATAGTATAAACCGTCTACACAAGCTACTACGCGCCCCATTTAGGTAGAGCTTATTGTATGAGATCGGAATAGTCCACTACTAGACATCGGAATAGTCCACTACTAGACATCGGAATAGTCCACCACTAGACATCGGAATAGTCCACTACTAGACATCGGAATAGTCCACTACTAGACATCGGAATAGTCCACCACTAGACATCGGAATAGTCCACTACTAGACATCGGAATAGTCCACTACTAGACATCGGAATAGTCCACCACTAGACATCGGAATAGTCCACTACTAGACATCGGAATAGTCCACCACTAGACATCGGAATAGTCAGCCGCAATAACTAAATATTGCTACTTTGTAACCGATATGGATATGATACATTATAACAGGCATTTAGATACAATATCATATTTTCCATATTTGCCCTTACGACACTCGAGCGAATAAATTGGATAATGCTTTTTTTTAATTTGCCACCACGCGGCTGACTTAGCATATTTTATTCGTGAAGCTGTAAGTAAGTTAAGACGAAGTCTTTTTTTCCTTAAAATAAAACATTAAACAAAAACAAACGCTTATTCACAGCGACACCGGGTTATAGGTGACAGTCTGATTTCCACTAAACTTAATGCACATTTTGAAAGTTAATGATTTAGGAAAATCTTATGATAGGTATATTAAGAGGATACCTTGAAAATTAATTGAAGTTTTGGGGGCGTGGCTTATTCCTTTGTCGGTGAAGCTAACGGACGACTGCGGGAGTGTCAAAATGAAAGTGATGCAATGACTTCATAGTACGCAAATTATGAGATTTTTGCCATACCGAGCAAGCGCTCGGCAAAAAACTAAGTAAGCGCCAAATAACATTTTTATTTATTTTAACAAAACTTCGTTATGGATTAAAAAACTGGTTTATGAGAACTTAGAAATGATTATTTACTATGCCTTAAAAAATTATTCCGTGAAATTATTCGTAAGTATGTTGTGGTGTCATCGAGAAATGTAAATAATTAGCGCCTACTTTTCAATTATTTTCTGTCGAGAAAATTACATGATATCGTGTTTTCTTTTTATGCAATCCAAGATCATATAGTTAAAAATCATATACCAAAATTTTGGTTTGTAAACTATAAAACTTAAAAGAATATGTTAAATAGAAAAACCACCAAATTTTCGAGGTATCACCTTAAATATACTAGGTGATACCTCGCTCGCTAATAGACGATAATAGATAGATAGTATATTGTAGTATATAGTATAAATATTCTGCAAGCTACTACGCGCCCCATTTAGTTAAACCTTTTTTTATGAGACCGGAATAGTCCACCACTAGGCATCGGAGTCTCCTGTATTGTAAAGCGGTTTAGCCGCAGTAACTCTTTCATACATTGAATATTGTAACTTCGCAGCCGGTATGGATATCATATCCATCATCCACTAGATTTAATGCACATTTTTAAGCTTACTGAGTTAGGAAAATCTCATGATTGGTAACTAAAGTTTGTCTCATTACAATTAAAAATTCATTACGTAGTAATTTGTTAATAAAAATTGTATTTAAGAAAATTTATCTCAAGGAAATAATACAATATTATAATATAATATTAAATCGAAATATTTTCGTAATTTAGGCTTTGCTATACACTAAAAGGCTATATATTCTATTATAATAATGCTTAAAATAAAGTATTTCAGCTTATAATAATGGTAGTATTCGACCTGAAAGATAACTCTGACGCATATTTTCGTAAAACGCTATGAAGGGATTGTCTTTGCTCTAAAAACCGTCATTAAAAACTATGATTTTCCGTTGCAGTGCACTAATTAAAGACTTTATCTTTCTAAATCCGTAATTTTCTGCAAATAATCTGCTCACATCGTTACGATATCGCCTTTGAAAAAACCCTAAAACATGAAGTTTGCGACGCAAACAGCATATGCCCTCTTAATGTCTATATCAAGAATTAATGTCAATGAAGTAAAAACAAAGTTTCATTTTGTGAATTGTTCAATAAACTTAATACTCAATCAAAGTTTTTTTTTTTAGATTAACGGCGTGGATATGGAAAACGCGCCACATGAAGCTGCTGTCGCCGTACTAACTGGCCACGAGCGCTTCGTAAGACTAGTCCTGCAGCGGACTATCACCTCCGAACAAGGTAATTCTTTTTGTTTATAAAAACGTAGTTTATAACTCAGGCTCAAAACATGTATACTTTAATGTAATGTAAATAAATGTGTTAGAGGAAAAAACAATAAGTCTATTTTAATAAGTCCCGTGGAAAGTATGCTAACTAATAAAATATAGAATTTGACAACAAATGGCAAGACCGTGGCACCTGGGCTAATGGACTTTCATTACGGGGATGTTTATGTAAAGTCGAGTTTTGATAGAATAAACTACTTAGATACTTAATTTTAGTTAAGAAAAATATATTTTACTTTGTTCCTTTTCTTATTTCTAAGTGTTTCCCTGTCTTATGAAGTTTGTAAGTTAATGCTTTATTTTATAAATAAAATAAAAAAATGCGTTTTTGATTAAAACTACTTTTACGGATTTTATCGCGTTTATTTTACTATTATTTTTAATTCCCGACGTTTCGAGCGCTTTCCAGCACCCATGGTCACGGGTAGAGATTGCAAATCCGGGTTTTTTTGAAATCCAAATTTTTGAATTTTCCTATGATTAAAATTCGGATAATCCGGATTTTTCGAAGTTTTAATAATTTAAAATCTGAATTTATTCTGACACGATGGAATAAAATCAACCAAAATAAACAAAAACCGTGTAGTGGCGGTTAAGAATATCCATTACCCCATATCTTCCCGTGGGTGTCGTAAAAGGCGACAGAGGGAAACAGGCAGGAGATGGGCAGCAGCATCTTCCTGATAAAAGTAACAAAAAACTACAGTTACCAACCCGCTCGCCAAGCGTGGCAACTATGGCAATATCCCCCATGAGCAACGACGCAGACGACCCCCAGACCATGGTAATTGCAGGGCAGGGGGTGCTAAGAATCTCCAGTGGAGGTTCAGTTGCCACCTAAAACAACTCGACCCGACAAATTACAACGCATGCACACTGAGGACTGACGAGAAGATCCTGGAACTGGAAGAAGATATAGACAAGTTCTGTTGGAATATTATAGGAGTATCCGAGGTCCGAAGAGAGGGGGAGGACACGGTGATTCTCGAATCCGGCAACTCGTTCAATCACCGAGAAGATTACCATCTGTCCCAAGGAGGTGTTGGGTTTATCGTCCACAAGTCTCTCGTTAACAACTTTATAGATTGGGAGTGTGTCGACTAGGGTTGCGTACCTTATACTCAGAATCACCAAACGGTATTCGCTGAAGGTCATACAGGTTTACGCACAAACTTCGGCACATCCCGATGACGAGGTGGAGGAAACGCATGAGGATATTTCTAAAACCAAAACCCACTATACGGTGTTAATGGGAGACTTCAACGCAAAGCTAGGCACAAGAAAAATCGGTGAGCTGAAGGTAGGGAAATTTGAGAAAAGGCAAGGAAACCCAAGGGGCTAGCAGCTGTCCGAATTCATGGAGAAAGAGGGATTCTTTATGATGAATTCTTTTCTTTCAGAAGCGGCCCCACAGAAAGTGGACCTGGTCGAACCCCGACGGTTCAAGAAAAAATGAGATTGACTTCATTATGACGACTATACGCCAACTGTTCAGTAATGTCTTAGTGATCGCAAGGGTGAAAATTGGCAACGATCACCTAACGGTTAGAGGCACACTGAACCTAAACGTTAAGTTGGAGAGGTCTCGTCTAATGAAGTCAACACTCAGTCCCCTTGAGCTCTAATCCAAAATCCCGAAAACTTTCAGCTGGAGTTTTCAGTGCCTAGAAGATTGCAATGCAGTGGACAATATGAATGACAAGCTCGTGGAAACTGTCTATGCAGTCGGAGCTAATTTCTGCAAGACCCGCCGCAGAAGAATACAAAAACTCTCCGATCACACTCTTAATCTCATAGATGTTAGACAAGAGATGAATGAAAAGAGAGAATCGTCAGCAGATTTGACAGCATACAGGCAACTGAATAGACAGATCTCCAAATGCACGCGGCGGGACTTACGCAACTTCAATACAGCTCGTATTGAAGAAGCAATCGAGCGGAAAAGGGCTCCAAAGTCTTTGCCAGAGGTTTGTCTGTCAGAAAGAGCCAACTGTCAAGGCTGAAGACTGAGTGTGTCAGCATCGTTTCAGGGACACCTGAGATTTTGAGTGAGATTGAGAGGTTCTATGGCCAACTGTACACATAATCGTTGGAGTCACACGCAAGTGTGAGTAACGATCCAAGAGCAAGTATTATCCGACATTATTCCGATGATATCATGGACGTCAGTCTGAGCGAGATTAGAATGGCTCTCCAGCACCTTAAAAACGGCAAGGTCCCAGGCGAGAATGGAATTACAGCGGAGCATCTGAAAGCGGATAGAAAACCGGTACTTGAAGACTCTTTAATTCCGTCCTCCATGGTGGCACTACGTAGGAGTGGAGCAGAAGTACGGTGGTCTTGTTCTTCAAGAGAGGTGACAACGCTCTCTTCAAGAACTACAGGCCAATTTCCCTTCTGAGCCGCGTCTACGTGCCGTTTTCGAGAGTCATTACGAATTGTCTCGCACGCAGACTTGACGACTTCCAGCCTTCCGAGCAAGCCGGATTCCGAAAAGGCTTCAGTACCATAGACCACATACATATCCTACGGCAGATTGTACAGAAGATCGAAGAGTACAATCTGCCACTTTGCCTGGCGTATGTGAACTATGAGAAAGCCTTTGATTCCGTCGGAATTCGGGCGGTGCTACAGTCCCTTCAGCAGTGCCAAGTTAACTGTCGGTTTATCGAAGTGCTGAAGTGTTTGTACAGTAGGGCTACGATGGCTATCCGAGTACAGAACCAGAGTCCGAAACCTATCTAATTGCAGAGAGGTGTAAGACAGGGTGACGTTATATCCCCGAAACTCTTCACCGCTGTATTGGAAGACGTTTTCAAGGTACTGGACTGTAAAGGATACGGTATTAACATCAATGGCGAGTATATCATTCGATTTGCCGACGAAACTTAGAAATGAGGATATCCGCAGTAAAAGCAGAGTGACCGACATAGCCCAACGGATTAGTAAGTTGAGGTGGCAATGGACATAGCGGGATGGATATAGCTCGAAGAACCGACAACCGATGGGAAAAAATGGTTCTCAAGTGGCAGCTTCGTACCGGTACGCGTAGTGTGGGGCGACCCCACACTAGATGGAGTGACGACCTGGTAAGACATGAGGAAGTCTAAAAAAAAATAGGGGGGGTTTTTTGGATAAAAATTGTGGGATAAATATTATCCATTAAAGTGAATTGGCACAAAAAACCAAAAAAAATCGGATTGCAATCACTAGTCACGGGGGACTGAGATGACTGACGTCCCGATGTCATTGTTAAACCCGGAGTACCTCTTTTTTTAATTATTTTTTATGGTCCGATCTATGCAATAAACAATAATTAAAAAAAGCTGAAGGTACTCCGGGTTTAACAATGACATCGGGACGTCAGTCATCTCAGTCCCCCGTGACCATGGGTGCTGGAAAGGGCCCGAAACGTCGGGAATTAAAAAAATAATAGTAAAATAAACGCGATAAAATCCGTAAAAGTGGTTTTAATCAATGTGTAGTGTTCGCGTAAATATAGGAAATCAAAATGCGTTTTTGTAAATTAAAAATAAGATATTTGTGATAATATCTAATCAGTCAGGACTTTCCCGTTTCACTGACCTTTTTGTAAATTAATTATGAATTAATTTGTTGCATACAGCCGACACTATCTCGAGGAAATCAATTTCGGAAGAAATGAGAGAGCACAAAACGAGCTTGACGAACGTCAAAGTTGCTCCAGCACCGAAGCCCAACCACGTGACCGAGCCGCTGATCGGAAACCATACAGCACCGAAGCTTACACACACCACGACAGTAAAGCCCACGGTCATCGCAAATGCACCAACGAATGTGCCCGTACAGACGTCCGCACATGCTCAACCACAGGTGCCCGTAAACGTGCCCGCACCGGCGACACAAACTTTCACAAACGCGGTTCCACCCCAACCAGCTCCCAGGAGAATTAGCCAAACTCAAACCAATGGACAGGTAAGATTTTGAAATAAAGAAGAATGACTAGAAAACAAATATGTTTTTATTTTGTTATGTGATTGTTTTCAGAATATCAAAGTACTTCGGATGCAATATCAATACGATATTATTAATTTAGATTTTGAATTTGATTAACAATAAAAATTAAAATATTTGTAAACATATCCGTTCAACAAATCATCGCTATTACAATATAATATAATCCTCAAAAAAATGTATTTTAAATGAAATAGACATCGAACGGCATAATATGGATATGGCGACCTAATGTTTATTTTTATAGTTTTGTAAAAATTTAGTAGTGACATTAAATATAAAATTTGCTTTCTCAGTGTTTAAATTCCTATATTATGCTTAAACCGCGACGAGCAACAGCTTTTAATCCCTATTGATTATCCTCATGACCTTTTAACGCTATTCTGCCTTCCTTTACGTGAATATAAAATATGCAATTATACATTTAAAGCTGTAGATTTTAAATTGTTCAATAATATTATAGATAGTTTAATTCAATTACAATTTATTTTCTTCATTTATCATCTTAAAATGTTAGTCATTATTTTTCAGATAATTATTTCAATTATTGTTTACACGTATATTTTTAACACGATTTGCATACCTAATATTCAGCCTTTTACCCTGCGCTTAATAGAACTAAAAGAAAGCAAAGATTTAGAATGTTATTGTTTACTACAGGCGGGAACAAAATCGACAACTAACAGTACGAGCACGCCTTTAACTCCTGGCGCCAATAAATTGCACGGCTCTAACGACGATGTTTTCGACGATATACAGGTAAGAACACGCCTTTAGCCTATTCTAGTCATGATTTATTCAGGTGATGGGTTCAAAAGGTTTAACACGTTCACATCCATGCTTTTCTATTATCGCTTCACGCCACTTTGTGTACGTATTGCATTAGTATAGACTAATTTTACACTATAGACATTCAGTCCGTCTCAGTCTCCGAAGATATCGTAACCTCTACGTCTTGAAATATAGAGCTCATATTTCGTGATGATAAGGCACGGTATCTGTCGGCGCTGTTTTAACGGAACTGAATGTTGCTTTCATACTCTGAGCTAAACATGGCGGATATGTTTTTTTTTAATCTGTAGGCGCTTTTAGAACTGGTTAATTAGAATTTGTTTGAAATGTTGGTTATACCTGCAGTTACATATTGAATGTAAAATTTATAGAACATAATTTCTAATCCAGATATCAAATTTGATTATATTTTTACAGTTATGAATTATTATGTTAGAATAAAGTAGTCTTTAAGATTTTTTTGCAGTTAACAAGGTCTTATAAAAAGGATTATTTTTAATATAGGTATATCTGTTTATCTGCTTAAGGCATTCTAATTGATACATAAATACATACATAAACACTCCCGCCTGTCATCCAGAGGGGTAGGCAGAGACTACAGACTTCCATTTGGCACGATCCTGACACACCTCTCTTGCCTCCTTCACATCCATACACCTACGCATACATGCTCGTCGGTTAAGGGTACTCCTAATTTGGCCCGTTTTCAATAAATCGCCAATTTGGTCGATACATTTTCGCCTTGGACGTCCCTTTCCGACTCTGCTATTCACTTCTGCACCATAAATTTCCTTTGTCACTCTTTCCTCATTCATTCTTTCCACATGACCAAACCACCGAAGCATTCCTTTCTTAATCCTGGTCACAACATCATCTTGCAAACCACACTCTTCTCTTATTACACAATTTCTTACCCTGTCATTCAGATTCAGCCCTAACATACTCCTTAACAACCGCATTTCTACTGCGTTTATTCTACTCTCGTGCTTCTTCTGCCACACCCAACTTTCACTACCATACGTTAAAGTAGGGACCAACACAGCATTGTGAATTGCCATACGTGCCTTTTTCGACACATTTTGACTCTTCACAATAGAGTGCAAGTCCCCATTTACTCTATTTCCCGCATTCACTCGTCGTTCTATATCCTTATCATATCTCCCTTCCCTGCTAAATACGCAGCCCAAATATACAAACTCATCTACTTGCTCGATCAACTCCCCCTTCTATTCTTATTTCACAAATCGTTTTACTTTCTTCTCTTTCAAAAACCATAACCTTCGTCTTACTTGCGTTCACTTTCATACCCCTTTCTTTTAATGATCCGTTCATTAATGTAACCATCATTTGCAACTCGGCCGCCGACGACGCAAGAATAACTTGATCATCGGCGTACAAAAGGCATTTGACGGTTAACTCACCCATTCTTAATCCGCATTCTTCAACTTTCAAATTTTGCAAACAACTGTCCATAAATAGGTTGAACAGCCACGGGGAAGCCACACAGCCCTGTCTGACACCTTTATGGATGTCAAACCAGTCTGAGTAGACCCCGTTGATCCTAACACAAGCACTAGAGTCCCTATAAAGAGACTCCAATGCCTGTATCAAGCCAGCGCTCAACCCAAATGACTTCAGTGTTTGCCATAGCAAATCCCTATCCACTCTGTCATAGGCCTTTTCCAAGTCCATGAACGCACAAAAAACCTTTTGGTTTTTGGGCAGAAACTTCTCCGCGATCATGCGCATGAAAAAGACTTGATCTGTACATCCCATTCCCTTTCTAAATCCCGCTTGCACATCCCAAATTTTTCCATCAGTTTCTTTCATGACCCTTTCAATCAGTACCTTAGCATACAGTTTTCCCACAATGCTAAGAAGGCTGATGCCACGGTTGTTTTTACAGTCCTGCTGTGCCCCTATTCCTTTATATATTGGGACTATCACGGCTTTGCACCAGTCTACCGGTACCCGCTTCAGTTCCCAGCATAAATTAAACAAGGTGTGCAGCAGGCCTGCCACCACTTCCTCTCCAGCCCTTAGCATTTCGAGTGAAACTCTATCATATCCGGCAGCCTTAACTGCTTTCATGCTTTTCATTGCTTTCATTATTTCATCTATACTTATCTCGCTACCTCTTTCCTCTTCTTTCGGTGTTTCTACTTCACTTAGTACACACGTTGTCTCCTCACTCATAAACACGCTTTCAAAATATTCCTTCCATCTCTTTAAACTCAAAACTTCATCATTCAGAATATAGCCATTCTCGTCTCTTATAGCATTCATCATAGGCTGTTTTGAATGTCCCCTGGCAGTTCTTACAAGTTTCCAGAACATTTTAATATTTGCCTGGAAATTATCCGATATTCTTCTATCATTCTTATCCGTTCTTTCTTGCTTTTTTCTTTCAACTACTTCTTTTACTCTCTTATTAAGATGTCTAAAGACTGCCTTTTTTTCTTTCAATATCACCATTCGTACCGCCAGAATTAGCAGCCTTTGTTGCTAGTAAATCTAGCCATGCTCTCTTCTTTGCTTCAACTTCCATACGTATCTCATCATCCCACCATAACGTATTATTTTTCCTTTCATTCTTTCTCTTACTAACACCACATACTTCGGTAGCTACATCCACTAAACCTTTCTTTACATTTTGCCATATATTCTCCAAGTCTAACTCCTTCATACATAATTCATCCAAACCACTTATATTTTCTTTCAGTCTACATTTGAACTTGTTTTTATCACTTTCATCTTGTAACCTTTCTGTTCTAATACGTTGTAACGCAGTGGTAGACACAGACGATCGATGGCGCCAACGGCTGAATAGACCATTAATTCGGCATAAAACTAAATAATGATCCGTTCCTACGTTAGAACCCCGGTAAACTCTCGTATCTATCACTGCGCCCCTCAATCTTTCTTCCACAATTATGAAATCTATCATGATTCTATCGTCACCTCTTTCACAAGTATCCTCTTGTGGCGAAAGCAAGTGTTCGTCACAAAAAGATTCTTTTCCATACATACGGTGAGGAGACTTTCACCATTCTCATTTATACTTTCATCACCAAACGTTCCCAATATCCTTTCATAACCAAGCCTCCTGACCCCAACCCTTCCATTAAAATCTCCTAGCATAATAATATTTTCATTTCCCTTACAGTTCATTAACACCATCCTTACCATTTCCCAAAATTGCTCTCGGATATAAGTGGGCTTAGACATGTCTGGGGCGTAGACACCTAACACAAACAACTTCTTTAAGCCCACTTTCATTCGTATCCATAGCAGTCTTGGGCTTACACATTCATACTCTTTCACACATTGGTCCATTCTTTCTGAAAGGATGATACCTACTCCCTGGCATGCCCGTTCGATCTCGTCTACACCAGACCAGTATGCGGTATACATGCCATGTGTAGTGACATCCTTCCCCTTTCTTTTCGTCTCATTTACGCATAATACATCTATTCCTCTATCAAACATCATATCTCATACTTCATCCATTTTATGATTCATTGCCCCACATACATTCAACGTAGCCGGACCGGCCTCTGCAATCCACTTTTCGCCTCTCCGGGAGACAGAACGTGACGGGTGGCGAACCTCGTCGCCGGTTTTCCTCCCGGAGATTCTTATCCCGAGCATTCTAATTGAATTCTATATTTATAAAAAACCTTAAAAAAAAGACATACAAAAAGTTCTTGCTGTCGTTGATGATTTACAGAACCGAGACATGGTCAAGCTTAAGAGCTATTGATAAGAAATTGCTTAGCATTTCCTTGTATGGTTAGAACTTTAAAAAAAAGTTATCTGCTCTATTGTAGAACTTCCGACGGTTCAAGCTCAATTCTTCAGCTCAAGGTTTTTGAGTGGCAGCGTCGTACCACTTGTGCTCACTAGGTGAATTGATGACCTAGTTGGTGTGCCACCCAGCATTTTACGCTTTACTTTGCTTTTTGGAGGAGAAATAAAGGAATTTTTTGCAATAATCGGCCAAGTTTGCAGGGAAGTTTCAAAATAAGTAATATAGGAAAATGGTGAAAAAAATCTCAAACAATCTGCCCATTTTATCTTTTAAATTCAAAATGCGTAGTAATGTATTATTTTAACTGATTTTACTGCGCACGCACACATTCGTAGTGGTCAACTAGTAGACAAAAACTGTTGCTCATAAGTGACATTCAATTAAAAGTGGAAGCTTTATTTACTCGTATTTCCAAAAACTGCAATAACAAATGTAAAACAATATTGTACAACCAGTGTGTGTTGCAAGTGATGACACATATGGATTTGAGATTTAGTTCTTCACTGCTGGGTCTCATATGAGGAGACCCAAGGTCGCTCAGCGAGCTATAGAGAGGGCTATGCTCGAGGTATCTCTTTGTGATAAACTGCGGAATGAGGATATCCGAAGAAGAAACAAAGTAACCGACATAGCCCAATAGATTACTAAGCTGGGGTGGAAATGAGCCGGCCATATAGCTTGGATAACGGCCTCAAGTAGTAGCCTACCTAGAAAGATAAGCTGAAAGTTGATGGATGCAGGTGGCTCAGGACCGTGCTTTATGACATTACTTGATGAGGCTTATGTGCAGCAGTGGACTTGTAAAAGGCTGTAAGGCTGTAATGATGATGAAAAAAGAGACAATCTATAAGGGAGCCCTCTGGAGGTTCAGCAGTAGACTGATAGAACGTAATGATGATGATGATATTTAGCAGTGGCCTTGCGATAGGCAGCAGTGATGATAATATTAATGCTTATTTAGTTGACTTTGATAAGCTGTAATTATGATGATGGTGATGATGATAGTTAGCAATAGACTTGGGATAGTTAGCAATGGTGAAAATAATAATAATTTTTATTGAATGTCCTAAGCTATGGAGAAGACGAGAAGTATTCCCCATGTACGAGGACGAACAAAGATAATTTCAGCATTTTTTTAAATACTGAATGATTTCTT